GAGTTATTTCATACAGAAAGCAATATAGAATTCTTGACCTCACAATATTTTCAAACCCGGCCTCAGTACTCTCCTCAAATATTAGGTGGAAACCAAAGAATTCATTGGAGTCTTTGCTAACATTACATTCTTGCTATTTTATTGCCCTTCAAAAAACTCCTTTTGCATAAAATGTTTTGTTTCATCTGTCATTACATAGAAATAAATAAATATAAGCATCTTTGTTTCACAAAAAGGGAACGTAAGGTAGAGAATTGAGGGGTTTTTTTACCATTCTTCACAACCTTTTAAAATATTCTTCAAGACAGCTTTAAGCATAGTCAGCAGCCTAAATATATGTTCACATATCTGACTTGCCATACAGTACCATAGCACAGCTATTCTCATACTCTTCAGTATAAAATAAACTGTTTCTCTCAGTCAACCCTGACTCCTGAGAATCAAGGATATCCCTTTACCTGAAACAAGGTCAAAACCTCATGAGAGAAGGCAGAACCTTGGGTGTTATGCAAACACAATTTTTTCAATATTTGGTTTAATTCAGGTTTTCTAATAACTGGGAGATTTCTAACTCATTGCACTCCTATGTTGCTATGGCAGCATAAGATATATAGCAGTTCCTATGAATGCAGTCAGTTTCCAAAATGCAATTCTTCTTTCCAGGTATTAATTCATAGAATGATAAATAAAGTCTGATTAAAATTCTTCCTTTCACACCAAACACAGTTTCCTGTTCTTGACCTAAAGAAACTGCTTGGCCATTGTCAAAATAAAGTTCACTAGAGTTTCAACCAATCTCAAACATACTGTGAGCTCAGCAAAACTGCTCCCTTCGCTGATATCCTTCACCAGCTCAGTGAACCGTGCTTGTTCCTGGCTCAGAGGCTGGGGGTGCAGAAAATGGAAAACCCAAACAGAGCCTCCTTTGAGCAGCTCCTGATGCTTACAGTCACCTGCTTGGTCAGCACTGTGAGAGAACCAGAGGAACACTCAGCACTGCACAGCTCTTTCACCAGGGAGCTTCAGAGCTCCTTTTCACCTTCAGAGCGCCCAAGTCCCACATACACGTGCCAGCCTGTAGGAAATAGTACCCAATTCTTTATATTGCATCACCTAAGTAGGTGAAATATACACTCTTAAAATTTAAAAAAACATACGTTGCTATCAACATCATCCGTTTCTGTTTCCACTTCAGAACAGCACTCAGATGCTTATGATGAACAGTGGTTGCAATCTCTGCGAGTGAGTAAAGTACAGAAGATAATTCAAAGAGCACAGAAAGGTTTGCTAGAAGTAGAGAACTGACGCCTTGCTTTGTGCACCAGGGAGGTGGATCCTTCTTTCGCCCACAAACCTCTCTTTCATTAATTCAAAAATTCTGAACTGAATCTTCATAAAATGTGAAAAAATCGTGTTATTTTTTTTACCAGACCTCTTGGCAGAAAAAGATTTAAATTTATATCAAGTGTAGGCATATGTAATTACCCAAGTATATTTTCTGTATCAAGCTTATAATAGGTGCTATTGAATATCCATTACATTTGAATGAACAAATACAACCACTGAATGCCAGAAGTACATTCAGAATATTTAAAATTTCATATAGTGAAGCCACTGACGATTTTTTTAAATACTGAATTATGAATCCTTAAACACTGCTGGCTCAGAGAACAGAAAATTATGATCAACTATATAGGTTACAAGCTAATTTCAAAGGTCATTTGAAAACTTTTCATATGTTTCCATAAACTTCCAGAAGGACAGAAAGGAGAGCAATCAAAGTCTTCAATATATATTAATCCATCATGTTTCCATATACAGTATTCACTTCTCAGTTATATAATGCCTGTGCACATTCATGTTCTAATTTTATAAAAGAGGCAGGTCTTATTATAAAGCATATCTATCTACAGTACAGATTAACCATTTGGTTACTCTCAGACCTGTTCATCAATCACACAGGATCAGACTGACAGCAGCATTTGGCACTGACACAATTTCCTTCTCTGGACAGCTTCAGCAACGGTACAGGGACACTGACCAGATTTTCAACAGAATAAGAGAAATCCTGGAAGCTTTCCAGCCCTCTGCCTGTCAACACATGTTATGTGTCCAGAGACTTCCCAGCCCAAAACTGGAGGTGAGGCACATTGGCAGGGTCCTGTGTTCAGACTCCAAACAGCAGGGAGTGCTTGTACCCAGGGCAACTGGAGAGGGCTCCTCGGGCTGCAGACAGGTCCAAAGTGCTACCTCAGATCCACACCTCAACAATGAGCTGAAAGTCAAAGCTCCAGCAGCCCTACAAAGGTGGTAGTGGTGTGAGGGTTCAGAAAGCCAGGAAAAGACTGAGCTTCCACTGTGGTGAAAGAGGAGATGCAGGGAGAAAGATGGTAAAGAGTGCTGCCATCACAGCTGGGGATGGCCACTGTGAGGCGGATGCTGGAGTACAGCATTTAGAAATCCACCAAGAGCTGGTCACTTTGATGCTCTGCCTAGTGCAGCAATGACAGTGACATGGGCTCCCCAGGGCTTTCCAAACCCTCCCTTACCACTGGCCATGCCAGAGCCAGCACCTCCACCAGAGCTGGTCATGTTTCCCCAAAAGACTCCTGGTTTATAGCACCGGCCTTCAGAGTGGTCCATCTGCCCAAAGCTGGTCATACTTCCTGAGCTGAAGCATTATTTTAGAAGAAGAATGATTCATGAAAACTGGAAAACTAACATAAAACTCATTTTTCTTCAAGGGCATGAATCCAAACTCTGATAGTTAATGTTTCCAAGCACCACTTGAAGTCAGCTCAAATTTTACTAATTAATGAGCAGCAATGCTCCGTACCCTTTAAAGCATGCTGGCGACAGAAATCCCCAAATCCAAAGCTCTGAGGAGGAGGTCATGCCCAGCCTGTCACTCACTCCAATGGACACGCTTCATCTCCAAAGCTTAGGGGGGCATCTTTTTCCTCTTTGAAATAGTGCAAGACTTATTTGGAGGGCATCTTCGGATGGCATCTGCTTTGAGACAGAGTGCAAGCCGGCTGTCCTCGTAAAAGATGGGTTTTAGCATGTCCTGAAGCTGCACTGTGGCCTTCCACCCCACAGTGCTCCATCCCTCACCTGGGAGTGGGGATAAGAGCACACCTGCACTCTCTTCTCCTTCCACCCTCTGCAGCTCTCTTACCTGCTCATACTCCTGCCAAGTTTCCCTGCTCTCCAGGAGATGGGATGGCTCAGAGTAGCCCAACATTTACGTTTTATGAAAGCATGTCATTTCACACAGAAAACAGTGTCCTATTAAAAAGTTTTCTTAACTGTTTATTCTAAGATCAGTCTAATTTTATTTCTGCAAACAAACATTAAAAAAACAAGGACCAGGAATGCTAAGACCATTCTCATTTCTGCAGTGGAATTTGAACAGACTACTATGAGTAAACAGGATTTCAGATAACTTTTTTTTTCCCCCTAAACTCCTGTGTTATCAAGCCTTGTTAGAAACTCTACAGAAGCCAAGTCCCTAACAGTTTTTGTCTTCTTACTGGGATTTTATCAGACCAAAACCAAAGTAGCCTTTGGATAAATAATTTATCATACTACAAAGCATCTGTTTGAGTCCACTTTTAAAAATAAATAAGTATTTAAACACTCAAATACCAGGCCTATCCAGTCTCCAACATTTCTATTACCATTATAAAGCCTCGCAAAATCACCAAGCAAATACAAGCTGCCACTCCTTCCAATAACAGCATGTTCTTCACACCCTGATTTCATTTTCTTCAACCACATTTCTGAGTCTAAAATAAAACCAAGAACTTCTTGCAAAAAGTGACTACAAACAGGCCCACAATAAAACATTTCTCCCATCTTCACAACCATGCACAAGGACAGAACCAGAACATGCTCAGCCCCTCTCTGAATTTGTCTTGTGGCTCTGTCAGAGGTTACTGCTTTCAAAAAATATAAATGTGACAGTTTCTGCACAGCTTGTGGACCACAGGTGTTCATGAGGCAAGCAAAAAGGTCCAGGATTTACAACATTCTCCATTTTTAGCATGGGAGAAAAAGTTTTAACAGATCAGAGCAGAAAAAGCAAAGTCTCTCCTCTTCAAGTAGAACACCTATGTGCCACCAGGTGGAGGACAGTCAGATATAAAATGGGTGAAGCAAAACAGAAGAAAGCCTAAAAGAAAGCTTTATATGTACAATTACCACTCTTTCAGAAAACACTTTACAGAACATGACTGTTCTGACAACCAGCTACTGCCAAGGTGTGTTATATTTTAAAAGTAACTATCTGAGCATCTGGGGGCAGGATATCTGCTGCATGAGAGATGACGGCTGCGAGATTTAGCTGAAGAGATACTGAAAGCATTGGAGAAGTGCACAATCTTTAAAAGAATTTATTTCTGCACAGCAGGAGAGCTCAAGGATGTTGTTTCACTGAACAATATAAAATGACAGTAAGCAATGCACAGAGAAGTCCATCAAAAATTAACTTCTTCAGAGCACAAAGCACCACCCAGAGATGAAGGCTCAAATATTCACTGCCTTTTCCCAAACATCACATGGGCTGGGGAGAGAGTCAAAAAACCTCCTGCAAAACTGGCCAAGTTTGGTCTTCTCATTCTGCCTCCTCATTGTGTATCTGCCTCCACACTGCAGCCAGAGCAATGTGGAACTGGGACACATAGGTAATTATCCAAGTATATTTTCTGTATCAAGCTTATAATACATGGAGGAGGAGAAATAATAATAATAATAATAATAATAATAATAATAATAATAATAATAATAATAATAATAATAATAATAATAATAATAATAATAATAATAATAATAATAATAATAATAATAATTTATTATTAATAATATAATAACTATAACTATATAATTATATAATTATATATAATATATAATATATTCGTATAATTATAGTAAAAAAATAATAATAATAATAATAATAATAATAATGATAATAATAATAATAATAATGGTGGATGGAGGAGTGTCTTGATTTGAAAAGATGGATGTCTGCTAGGGAAGGCAAGAGCCTCCCTTGGAGTGGAAAATGTAAAGCCCTTCCCTCCGAATTATTATAATTTTGAAATTAAGGGGCTCTCAGGCAACGATCTGAGGGTAGGAATAAGAGTTCTTTACCAGTATGTACAATAAAGCAAACAAACAATAACTGCAGCGCTTACACGAACAGAAGCAGGCCCAGCGAGCCTTCCCCCGGCGCAGTTCCGGGCACGGCCCGCAGGGGCGCTGCTGCTCCCGGCGGAGCGCGGCCTGAGGGAGCACGCGGTAATGGCGGCTGGGCCCACACGGGAAGGGATGGCAGAGAGGCTGTGCTTCACAAACTCCCCTGGGGCAGCCGGTCCCGGTGTCCCGGCAGAACTGTGAGGGATGAGCAGGAATCCCGGGGGTGGTGGACGAGAGGTATCAGAAGCTCCGTCCCGCGGGAGGTCCCGGCAGGGCAGGGCAGGGGGCGCGGGGCCCAGCAGCAAAGAAAGGCGGCTCTCGGATGGGTTTCGGCGGTGGCAGCGAATTCCTTTCCCCAAGCCGCAGGTCCTCCTCCGAAGGGCAGAGAGAGAGAAAACAGCTGCCCCCAGCCCCAAAACTCGCCGTATCTCTCCCCTCAGAGAGAAAATCCCTGAGAAAAAGAAGTGTAGCCAGATGCTACACTCCTCTCCCGACTTGACCACTTACTTTGTTTTTCTTAAGTATCCATAGGTAGTCAGAAGTTAGTTTCCTAGCAACTTATGGGAAAAAAAACTTAAGTAAAAAAGAAAGAAACCCACCCCCCAACAAGGAGGAAGAAATGGAACACGCCAAGGAAGAAAGGGTGGATGGGCTGCCGGGGCCTTTGGCTGAGGTGATGGAGCCACTTGTGATGCAGTTGCAGCTTTGCCTGCAGCACAGGTGCAGCTTGAGAGCCTGACATTTGATAGACACCAGCTCCAATGCAATACGGCACTCTCTGTATGCCTGAAACACAGCTCAGCATCTCACTTTGATGCTGGCAGGGAAGCCAAGCTCCGAAAGGAAGGTCATCATTTTGATGGCTAGAGCAGATATTGATTAAACACTGCAACCATCTTAGAGATGGTCATAAATACAACAGCTGCTTCACAAATACACCTTCGGCAAAATGCTAGCCACGCTTAGACCTAACAGTTCGGTATTTATAGGCACCCCACACTATACACTCTCTAGCAGCAATAAAGCACCTGAAATGCTCAATACTTGATTTAATGCTTCCTGAAGAAGAAAACTGCTTTGCATAATCTTCTGTAAACTACATTTTATAAAATCTCTTTATAAGCCCATATTTTCTCAGATTACACCATGTTTGGTAAGATGTATCTTTCGATGCTTTTTAATTCCATTAAATTGCAAACAACAGTGAGATAATGGGAAAGCCAAGGAAATTCAGCGGTGATGTACTATTCTAATTAATTAGAAATATCTCCAAGTCATCATTGTGGAATAAACTATTTTAAATATGCAAGGTTTGCAAGTTTCAGCCATTTGTGTAAAACTATCAAAGACTTTCTTGCTATAAAGCTTTAATTCCCATCTCAGAAAACTTGGAAGCTAACCTACTTTTTTCATTATTAGGTCAGGAAACACACCATACAAATTATCCTGGATGAATGTGCCAGTATTTCCATATTAATAGGTTGCATCCACAATGTATAACATCATCCATTGGATAATAAGAAGCTTTGTTATTATTTTTCAATGCACTGGGCAAATACATACACCTAGTAGCCCTATTGAAATGGTAATTAATTATACTTTAATAGAATAAACCAAGATGTTGCCTCTGAGCTACAATACATATTTGAGTTAGGTTACATGGTAATAAAGTACTTTGAAGAAATCCTTTTCTCACAATTTAACAACTCATAAAACCATCTAGACATCAGGTGGTGCTGCTGGAGATCAGGGTGAAGACTGGGGAGTAGGGAAGGAAAGGATGAGTACATTTTATCTTGAACACTTTCTGTTCTGCTTCAGTTGCACGGTAGAATCTGAATCAGTCTCCTCACCACCAGCAGGTTAAACCCGCCTCAAGTTCAGCTCAGCAGTGGCAGCATCCAAAAGGGATTTCATGCAGAGTGGCACTGCCACTGCAGTGGTAGCAGCAGTGAGGAACTCTTGGTGAGTGCACACAAGAGGGAAAATATGTCCCCCGAGGCTAGAAATGAAGAGGAACATGGGATTACAAGGCTAGGTTCATCAGGAGCCCTGTCCCATGGGCAGATGCCCCAGTGAGCCCAGCAGCTCTTGGCTGAACACTGAGAGCCTCCATATGGCAGCAGGAGAGATTGTCTTGGTGACTGCAGGGTCCCCTGCTCCTGCTGAGCTCTCCGTGCAGAGGGAGGCTCGGGCCCAAAATCCCTGTCTCCCACAGAGCCAGCAGCTTTGGCAACCTTTTGTCACGCTTGGAGGGACTCACCAGGATCAGTCAATCCCAGACTCCCTACAGAGTTGCCAGTGCAGGCTCTCCCCACTCTGCAGTGCCAGTACAGCACGCTGCACAACTGTCCCCTGTCACCATTTACAGCTGCCACCCCTGTGGGTGCAGTGAGAGGCAGCTGTCACCATTAATGCCACCAGAACCCTTCCACATCACTCGCTGGATCTCTCCAGGAGCCCTGTGGGTGTCATCCACATTAGGAAGGAATTACTTGGCACACTGGCTTATACAGACTCAGGAAAAAGAAACACAGAGTTGTTCAAAACAAGATAACTGTGAGTTACTAATTGCATTCTTCATGGATACTGGTAAAACCATCTTCACTGAGTCTACAACACAAAGTATTAGAGTGATGCTTTTATAATTCCAGAGAAAAAGTGAAATACTGTATCACAGTACTAATCAAACTAGATGTCTTTAAAATCAGTCAAATCTAAGAGCATAGAATTTCCCTCCATTATAGTATTAGTATAAGTTTTTGCCTTTCTCTCTACTACTGCATTATAATTTTCTCAAAAATTATTTCTAAGTCACAGCTTCCAATTCAAACATTCTCCAAATTTATTTTGCCATGTAAGTTAACTGGAAAAATGTACTTTTTGAAATAACTTCATTCCTGTAGGGTTCTGTGATTTCCCTGGTGGTTGCACAATGTGCACACATATTTTAGGACAAAACAAAGCACACTTATGCAGAGTAAGCCCAAAAGAGACACCAAATGCAATAACATCACATACAGTATCCAGTAAATTCAAAGTATTTTGCAGATGGGATATCCCTACTAAACAGGGATGGTCATTCCATCCAAAGACACAGAGTTCATTATCTCATAAATGCTCTTTTTGGAAATGCAAACATTTGCTCTGCAGATTGGGAAGGACAGAAAGGAAAGGGACATTTCCAGGATTACCAAGGAATTGCTGCTGGGCTTGTTATGCACCAGAACTCTCAATGAAGATTTCAAATCAAAGAGGTTATCTGGGGCATAAGAGGCTTTCAGATATTCACTGGAGAGCAATTCATCCCAGCATCTTTGAAGTAAATCACCATTCAGTTTGGAAAATTAGAAGTACATCAACATGATATGAGAGCTGAAAGCAGCAGATGAACTCATAATAGGTTAATAGAGAATGAATGTAAATCAATAATTTAGAGTCACACTGGAAATGGTTAGCTGGGAATAGGGGCTCTTCCAGCTACTGCAATGTCCCTTTTGATATAAATAGTGTCAACTGGTACACAGATGGCTCCACACTGAGTACATTTTCACAAAACAAATTATGCAGTTTGTACATCATTGTTTGGAATGTTAACTAACAAGGTAGAACAAAGGTCTATAATTTAAATGATCTTTTAATTTCACAATTTTTTTCTTTTCTGATTTTGCCCACCAGAGAATTATCAAGCAATCTGCAAACTGTTACTTGTCTACACTACTGGAAACGTGAAACAGTTTCAGTCAGCTCAGTCTGTGAAGAAATACATTCCCATTGTAAGCAAAATAAACTTATCAAAGACTTACTCGCTTACTGACCACAAATAAAAACCAGAACTATGTGGAGATGGTCTTGAAAGTCATCACACTAAAAAGCTGTACAAAATAAAGGGTCTTTTTGAAACTGCAGTGGCAAGCATTCTTTACAGAAGATGTCAGGTGAAAGCACCAGGGGCTAATAATGCGTCCCTGATACTGGAGTATGCCTTATTTACCTTACAAAGTATCCTCAATATGGGTATAGTGCTCAAAATACCACACCAAAGTTAATCCTGTACTTTACAGGGAGACAGCTGATAAATCAGATTAGCAAACCAAACGGGAGGAGATGGAGGCAGAGAGTGAGACAGAGATGAAGCTGAGCAAACAGCATTTCTGAACCTGTTCCCAGAGCTCATCTGCCGGGAGGCGCGGGGAAAGCGGCCATCCACAGGAGCAGCACACACCTCACACACAGCCTGGTTTTCATCCTCTCTCATGTTCATACCTCCTCTGGAGCCTACCCACCTTCAGTGCTGCCCGTGCCCATGGCCAGGCAGGTGGGGACAGCGTGCCGGTGTCACCTGCCCAGCATCCGCCAGCCCCTGCAGCCGTGCTGGAGGCACTGAAATGTCAAGGTGAGGATCGCTCACTTGGAAATCAGCAGCACGTGATTATGTTAAACTGCAGCCCTGTGTGTACCTGCAGTACCAAAAATACAATCCTTTACCATGCCAATCAAAGCAGTATTTATAGTGGCTGTAAGAAAGCAGCACACCTAAGGTGGATTGAGGTGATAACTCTGCTCTCCCAGCGATGGGGTGTTTTAGTACAGGGCCTAGTGCTGTGAGCATGCTCCATGCCAGCCTGATGGACTGCCCTTTCCACTCAGAAGACAGGCCAGGAGGAGAATTAAAAATGGACAGATAAATAAATAGCACACATCAGCCCAACAATCCTAGTATTAAAATTCTATACAGAGGAGAAAAAGTAAGATTTTTTTATATCAGTGTACACTTACTACTCCTGGTTGTTCTGATGGCAAGTGGACAGCTCTGTCCAAGGAAAAAAACTATAAATAACAAATCTTACTATCATTTCCAGCCTGGCAAAGGGAAGCACAATATGTCATAATCTGAAAGCTAGATGACTCTGCAGCCTTTCTGGTCCATCTAATGAGGGTATATGGGAAGGCAGCACCAGCTTTAGTCATAGAGGGAGCACATCTGCTAAAAGCATGAAGCTCAACTTCATTTATATTTATTAAGTTTGTTTCTTAGCAATATACCAAAAATGGATGACTGAAAATACCTGGTGTGTTTTAAAACTGCAGAAATACCCCACTTTAAAGAGATCTTTCTATAACATAGAAGACTTCACAAGGAGCTGGACTATCACCATTTTAACTCTCCCAGCTTCACACTCCATGCCATGGGGTATGAAAGCACTGACCAGCTACACTGCATTAATACTTATTGTACAATAAAGCTGTGAAAGCCAGCATATGGCTGTTATTTATTACTAATAAGAAAATTCAATTTAAAAACCATCGTAAATAACAGGAAATAACCAGACTGCAGGCAGACCAAGTTAGACCATTCCTTAACAGCACGTCGGCAAAGGGGATTATTCAAACCCTGGGGTACCCAGGAAAGCTTTCCACAGCAAAGTCTTCCCCGACCACTCAGAAGTCTGTATTGCCTCTGTGAAGATGTGCATAAAAGATTCAATGGCAGATCATTGTGTGCTGTTTTGAAGATATTCAACAGTATTTATAATTTTATATATATATATATATATATATTTATACTCTCTATACATCAGTATATTCATCTCTTGCCATTTGGTTTTTTAATATTGCTCAACATTATCTAAACAAATGCCAGAGGTTGTTGCTACTCAAGAACTCCCAGGATCACTGCAGCCTCAGACCATCAGCAGAGTTTGTAGATGCCTTGAAACAAATGCTGGTACAACAAGACAAAAGGGAAAGGATGAGGAATATTGTGACACAGAAAACCATGCATTGCAGCAGCCAAGTAAAAGGTGCATTTATTCCTTTTCATTTTAGGTGTAGAAATGAAAGTCATGAAGGAAAGTGATGTGGAGAGGCTTCATTATAATCAGTGTATAAAAGTGCCACTGCATACTGATAATATCATCCTTCACTCCGAAGTTTTCTCTCACAGTGGAACTTAAAAGCTAATGCATAATAAGGAAAGCCACAATAAAAAAAACGAAGTTTAAATCTGTGAAGATTCTTTGAAATATTTATGAAACAGGGCGTTTTAAATCTAGCTATTCAGGCTCATTGTTCTATTATAAAATATTGCCCACAATGTTTTTGTTCTGGTTCCCTTTTGAACAGCAGAAAAGACTGATATTCTTAAAGAGAGGTGCGAGGTACTATTTTAACACCAACCTCTAGTGCTTGCTTTTTCTGCTACTTGCAGAAAAAAAAGAGTGATCACAAGGCAGTTCTCTCCCAGTTACTGAAAGTAGTTGAATTTGACTTTTGTAAAAAAAAGAAATAAATAAAAATGTAGATATAGATATATGAGAGAGCACCACCAATATAAGATGAGTTGTTCTTTCCCCAGATCACAAACCATCCAGGCTAGAATTTCCCTGGCATTTTACATTGGACAAAGTAATTTTTTGCAGTCACAGAGTAATGTTTTGAACATTTCAAATCTGAAGCTGAATATATTACTGCTTTGAGAAATTTCATTTAATCCCCTCATTACTTCAGAATAATGCTTCCTATTCACTCTCTGGAGAAGTTTGGCTGTCAAAAAGAATAATGATTTCCACTTTTTCACTAGAAAAGACCAATATTGCTGCAAAATATGTCTGTATGGATTTTGAGTGGTTACACTTGTACTGCATTACAAAACAGAGGATGGGTAAAAAGTACAACAGAAGTCAAAGAAAACCAAAATTGGATAAGGAAGTGCAGCAACAGCCCCGTGTCCCTAATACAGCATGGACAAGAACATGTAGGGTACAGCCCTGACCTCCCCACGAGTTTGGAAAGCCAACAGGGCATGGCCTGGATTTGGGATCTCCAGAGTTTTGGGAAGGAAGCCAAGGTAGCTCCTGCTTGCTCCTTCAGTTGAACCACCCAGGCACACCAAGGTAGCTCCCACCCCCACTCCCCCCTCGATGTTCTCTGCCTTTCTTCTTGTTTGTCCCCAGGCAACAGCTCTGTTCAGCTGGGTTTTAAAAAATGTTTAGTAACATTTTCCCAAAGATACAAACTGATGGAACATACTGATCTCCTGCCTTCTCCAACAGCTTTCATCCTTCTACAATCTGTCCCGGTTTAGTGGCCAGAGCTTTTATCATCCCTGTTTTCCAGATGGGAAACGAGTTACCAGGTGACTCAGCTTCTTGTTCAAGGTCATGCACATAGGTTTTCACCAAAAAAGGAAGGCTGTCCAGGCATCCAGATCTCTCTGCATCTGGTCTCTTCAAGGGAAGGGCTAATTCCCAGATTACTGGACATCCTCTGACACACCGGGACTGGAGGCTTTGCAGATGTGTCCTGTGCTTTTTGTGCATTCAGCAAGTTAAGTGTGACCAAATGTAGAAAAGCCAGTGTTAAAATCTCTGTAATTCTGCTGCCTTTTTTTAAACATCTGAGCGTTTAGAATATCTGAATTTTATTGAAACTTAACTGATCAAACATTTTTTTTCTGTTAAAGCCTCAATGGGATTTCATTCCATATTCAAAGATTTGGAGTTACTCTAGAATTCATTGTGAATTGTAGAAAGTATAGAAGTAATTGTATTAAAGGCAAAAGCAGCAGACCCTTTCTGTCTTAACCTGTATATCAGTGTATTTAAAAATAAATCATAACTGTGATTCACACTTAAGGATTTTGTAGGGCAGTGAACACTTCCTTTATGCCTGCAGGCACTCAAAACTAAAAAAGAAGAAAATGGTATAACCAGAAAATTCTAGCTGCTCACCTCATAGTCTGGAAATTTAACCTGAAAAATTAAGATTCAATGATTATCCCTTTTTCCAGTGCTTTCTCACATATACTTAGTTGAACTAAAGCCCAGGACAAGAGGGGAAAAGATAAATATTATCACAAGTGTCTGTGGTTTGTGCATCACACTGGCATCTATAGCAGTGGCAGGACAATTTCTGAGACCAGGAAAACATATTGTGGCACTGCTGTCTTCCACCCATCTGCTGGGACACTGAGAAGCAGCAAATCACCTTTCACTGTTCTGTCTGAATAAAAAAAAAAAAAAAAAAAAAAAAAAAAAAAAAAAAGCCCTAATATAAAAGCATTGTCTATAAAAATGTATTCAATATCTGGACAAATGGGGAAAGTATCTTCCTAAAAAAGAACAGCAGGTCTGCCACGGGACCTGGTGCTTTACTGACAGTGAGAAACCCCACAGAGGCACTCCCCTGGCCCATCCTCTGGGACACACATGGAACTGGAAGCAGGATAAAGGCAGGCAGAGCCTCTCCAGAGGAGACAGGGCTGCATCCCTCATTTGCTTGCAAATTATTCTGGAAAGTTTCCCAGACTACAGTTCTGCTCCTCTAGTTTGGAGGCCCATGTATAAGAATGGAAAGGAAATCTGGATTGCTGGCACTTTGGTTTGTGGGAGCCCTCTTTGTTATTGTGTTGTATTAGGTCCCAGTTGGGCATTTTTTTCTTCCAGTTGTCTCATACTGCTCAATGTGAAACAGAATCTACAAAACTCCCATGTCCTGCTGCAAGATTATGAGATTCAAAGCAGTGGAGTTTCTTCCTGAAAAGCTAATTCGTTTACCACCAGTTAGTTTAGCACCATCATTTTTCTCTTGCTAAAAATAAATAAATAATGATGGAACAAGCAAATGAAAAAAAAAATAAAATCCATCAACCCAAAAGAAACCAAGAAACATTTAAGAGGTTACATTTATCTTTCCAGCTGGCAATAAAGACAAGCACTTCTGACAGTCAGTTTTTTAAAGTCCTGGAGTGGATAATTGCAACATAAAGCTCACCACAACTGCTGTGTTTTAACACTTCTTGAAGCACTTGTGTTGCTTCAGGGTTCAGTGAAAGGAGCTGCCCCACATCCCAGACATTTTAAAACTGCGAGGGAAGGTAAATACATCCCTTCACACTTCTC